TGTGAGTTTATATCACACAATTCTGACTTTATAATTCGCAATTGCATGTTATAAAGTCAGAATTGCAAGAAAAAAAGTCAGAATTGTGAGTTTTTATCTCGCAATTGTGACTTTATATCTCGCAATTCCAACTTTATAACTCGCAATTGTGAGTTTATATCATGCAATTCTGATTTTATCAATTGTAGGTTTATATCACGCAATTCTGACTTTATAATTTGCAATTGCATGTTATAAAGTCAGAATTGCGAGAAAAAAAGTCAGAATTGTGAGTTTTTATCTCACAATTGTGACTTTATATCTCGCAATTCCGACTTTATAACTCGCAATTGTGAGTTTACATCTCACAATTCTGTGAAAAAAGTCAGAATTGTGAGATGAGCTGAGCCATTAGGGAATGCCATTACGGCTATTGATTTGCTTGTTTGCATTCGTTCATGAAGTTGTTGTACAGCGTGGAAAGAAAGACTCCAGTTGTGATTCTAAGGCAGACCTCAGAACAGCCACCTCTTGTTGAATTAGTGTGTGAGCATTTAACCATTATCCTGTCCATCATACTGTCTCTTATTTCTAGCTGTAGATCTACATGTTTAAAGTCAAAATGAATATAATTCAGCAGCTACAAATGTTGCTAGTGGTCCATGAGACATTTTAAAACATGAGTAAATAAATACTTACATATAATTGATAGAATATTAAAGCAATAAACTTAATGTTATTGCTTTTTATGAAAACCTATTCTTGCCACTTAAGGAAAAAAAAACATGCTTCAGTAAATCTATTAGGTAAAACTATTAGGATAATGTCAAATTATGATATAATAAGTAAAAGTCACAATTATGTGATACTATGTTAAAATTATGAGATAAATATAATTATGGCTTAAAATGGCTTAAAAAAGGGAATGCCATTACGGCTATTGATTTGCTTGTTTGCATTCGTTCATGAAGTTGTTGTACAGCGTGGAAAGAAAGACTCCAGTTGTGATTCTGAGGCAGACCTCAGAACAGCCACCTCTTGTGGAATTAGTGTGTGAGCATTTAACCATTATCCTGTCCATCATACTGTCTCTTATTTCTAGCTGTAGATCTACATGCTTAAAGTCAAAATGAATATAATTCAGCAGCTACAAATGTTGCTAGTGGTCCATGAGACATTTTAAAACATGAGTAAATAAATACTTACATATAATTGATAGAATATTAAAGCAATAAACTTAATGTTATTGCTTTTTATGAAAACCTATTCTTGCCACTTAAGGAAAAAAAAACATGCTTCAGTAAATCTATTAGGTAAAACTATTAGGATAATGTCAAATTATGATATAATAAGTAAAAGTCACAATTATGTGATACTATGTTAAAATTATGAGATAAATATAATTATGGCTTAAAATGGCTTAAAAAATGAAATTATGGCAAACAAAATTACTATTTATGTCATAATTATGAATTTTAATTTAAACTTTTTTTTATTTATCGCACTTGCCCTGTTTAGTATTTTTTTCTAGCCTTTAGTATGTATTTTTGTTCTTTTTATCTCACAATTATTACTTAGTATCTCACAATTTCTTTATGACTTTTAATGTCATAATTATGACTTTTAAGGTCATAATTATCATATATGGTGGAAATGGGCTTCAATAATTTTTGAACCTGTGTCGCTTGTTTTGTTCCAGAATGATTTGACATATTTTGAACCAATCGGTTGAGTGAATGATTCAGCGACTCTCAAAAATACAATCATTTGTAACAAAACACTTTTAAATTACACTGAGTATAGTGGAAATCAATTAAAAATAAAAACAGCACAATGTGGCAAAACAATGTACACATTGACGCATACAACACATACAAAAATCTCTGTCTTTCTATTTATTGTTCACAACAATACGTTAATACGTTAAAACATATAAGTCTGTATGTCAAATAAGGATGGCTTTTGTTGTTAGCTTTTCAATGAAATGAAACATGCAATAAATTGATTATTAATTGTTTTATAAAACACCATATGTGAAATTCAATAATCAGTATCATTTAATAATTTGGTTTAATTTAACTTGTCTGTGTTACTGTGAATTAATCGGACAGTGAATAAACCTTTGTTTTACTAAACCTACTGTGTAAGCTGTAGTAATGTTAAAGATCTTCAGTAAATCGAAGCAGTGTGCCTTGGTCCTTACTTGGGCCACATTTGTATGAACACAGTGTCACAGAATAATAGTGTGTTGTTGCTGTGCAGAATTGTGAATAAGGCTGAGTGAATGCTTTGGGAAATCTGGCAGCAAATCCTCTAGTTGGCAAGTTTGCTCCTGAGGCGACCTCTGGCATATGGCATATGTACCCCTCACTGTGGTAGCACTTGCTGCCTACTGTTCTAACAGAGCCTGTCAACCAGTGGGGTTTGGCCATACTGTAGGCCAGACGGAGACCAGGGAATGGTGCACAGCCCAGGCCAAAGGGTCAGTCTGCCTAAGGACGGCTGGAGAATAATCACAACACACTACGAGCACTAAAGCGTCGAACTCTCACCTGTGCTGTCATCGTAAACCACAGTGACCGTTTTCCACTTGAAGAAGTGAACCAAATCTAAAATGGCTCTGCTGAGGGAGGAGAAGTCTGGGTAAAGGCTGACATAGAAGGAGTCGCGGTTGTCTGACACTTGGTGCTTCCACTTGGTCTGGATGTGCGGCACCCCCAGAGCGTTACAGATGGACTGCACCGCGTTGGCCGAAGAGCTGTGGGAGGGACCGAAGATGGCTGCCACACCCAGAGAGAGCTGGTCACAAGCTGGAGACAGAGCACAGAAAGCTTATTTTCTTTCTTTTATTTTGTGATTTTGTTATAATAGAAACACCAGAGCCCGATTCATGGTTACTTCCAGCGTGCAAAGTAATATTTATTGCAACAACAGTAACAATGAACTCATTTACTTGTATACCCCATCGTTTTTTTGGCAAAGCCACTGTTGAAATAATAAGTAAAAGTCACAATTATGTGATACTATGTTAAAATTATGAGATAAATATAATTATGGCTTAAAATGGCTTAAAAAATGAAATTATGGCAAACAAAATTACTATTTATGTCATAATTATGAATTTTAATTTAAACTTTTTTTTATTTATCGCACTTGCCCTGTTTAGTATTTTTTTCTAGCCTTTAGTATGTATTTTTGTTCTTTTTATCTCACAATTATTACTTAGTATCTCACAATTTCTTTATGACTTTTAATGTCATAATTATGACTTTTAAGGTCATAATTATCATATATGGTGGAAATGGGCTTCAATAATTTTTGAACCTGTGTCGCTTGTTTTGTTCCAGAATGATTTGACATATTTTGAACCAATCGGTTGAGTGAATGATTCAGCGACTCTCAAAAATACAATCATTTGTAACAAAACACTTTTAAATTACACTGAGTATAGTGGAAATCAATTAAAAATAAAAACAGCACAATGTGGCAAAACAATGTACACATTGACGCATACAACACATACAAAAATCTCTGTCTTTCTATTTATTGTTCACAACAATACGTTAATACGTTAAAACATATAAGTCTGTATGTCAAATAAGGATGGCTTTTGTTTTTAGCTTTTCAATGAAATGAAACATGCAATAAATGGATTATTAATTGTTTTATAAAACACCATATGTGAAATTCAATAATCAGTATCATTTAATAATTTGGTTTAATTTAACTTGTCTGTGTTACTGTGAATTAATCGGACAGTGAATAAACCTTTGTTTTACTAAACCTACTGTGTAAGCTGTAGTAATGTTAAAGATCTTCAGTAAATCGAAGCAGTGTGCCTTGGTCCTTACTTGGGCCACATTTGTATGAACACAGTGTCACAGAATAATAGTGTGTTGTTGCTGTGCAGAATTGTGAATAAGGCTGAGTGAATGCTTTGGGAAATCTGGCAGCAAATCCTCTAGTTGGCAAGTTTGCTCCTGAGGCGACCTCTGGCATATGGCATATGTACCCCTCACTGTGGTAGCACTTGCTGCCTACTGTTCTAACAGATTGTCTGTGTTACTGTGAATTAATCGGACAGTGAATAAACCTTTGTTTTACTAAACCTACTGTGTAAGCTGTAGTAATGTTAAAGATCTTCAGTAAATCGAAGCAGTGTGCCTTGGTCCTTACTTGGGCCACATTTGTATGAACACAGTGTCACAGAATAATAGTGTGTTGTTGCTGTGCAGAATTGTGAATAAGGCTGAGTGAATGCTTTGGGAAATCTGGCAGCAAATCCTCTAGTTGGCAAGTTTGCTCCTGAGGCGACCTCTGGCATATGGCATATGTACCCCTCACTGTGGTAGCACTTGCTGCCTACTGTTCTAACAGAGCCTGTCAACCAGTGGGGTTTGGCCATACTGTAGGCCAGACGGAGACCAGGGAATGGTGCAGAGTCCAGGCCAAAGGGTCAGTCTGCCTAAGGACGGCTGGAGAATAATCACAACACACTACGAGCACTAAAGCGTCGAACTCTCACCTGTGCTGTCATCGTAAACCACAGTGACCGTTTTCCACTTGAAGAAGTGAACCAAGTCTAAGATGGCTCTGCTGAGGGAGGAGAAGTCTGGGTAAAGGCTGACGTAGAAGGAGTCGCGGTTGTCTGACACTTGGTGCTTCCACTTGGTCTGGATGTGCGGCACCCCCAGAGCGTTACAGATGGACTGCACCGCGTTGGCCGAAGAGCTGTGGGAGGGACCGAAGATGGCTGCCACACCCAGAGAGAGCTGGTCACAAGCTGGAGACAGAGCACAGAAAGCTTATTTTCTTTCTTTTATTTTGTGATTTTGTTATAATAGAAACACCAGAGCCCGATTCATGGTTACTTCCAGCGTGCAAAGTAATATTTATTGCAACAACAGTAACAATGAACTCATTTACTTGTATACCCCATCGTTTTGTATGTCATGTATTTAAATATATTTGTAATTACACATTTGTAATGATAAAGTTGCAATTACAAAGTACAATTTAAAAATATATACATATGTATATTTTATATATAAAAATATAACAACTAACTGTATTTACTTTAAAGTGCATCTTAATTTAACATTATTATAAAGTGTACTTAAGTGTATTAAAATAGTCATGCAAGTATACTCTTTTTAAGTACCATTAAGTGGCATTTATTTCATTAATATTAAATTATCGGCAAGTACAGTTTTGTTTTAATATAAACGTTTAAGTCTTGAAGTACACTACAAGTGCTAATTCAATAATGCATTTTAATACACTTCTTTTTCACAGGGGGAGGAGGGCAATATTTCACAATTTAACTTTGAGGTAGAAGCACTGTAGTGCACAAATAGGAATATCAGCTTAAAAAAATAACTATATGTGATATGGCACCAGTGTAGGTTAAGTGCAGTGAATGTCAAAGAATAGTGTAAGAAGTTGGAAGGAGAAAAGTATATTACTATTTGCTTTGACTCAACCCATCCGAGCGTATAATAGATATATATCCAAGCTCCTTACAGAAGGTATGTTTTTAGAGCGCAAGCTACACAACAGCTTTCCCTTTGTGAGTCTGCTTGACAGGCTGTATATAAATGGATGCCTTTAGTGTTGGGGACTGATGTGTTCTGATTGGCTGGCGAATCAATCAATCAAGCCCTGGGGAGCAGTGAAGCACAGCATAGAGAGATTGAAGTGTTTTGCTTGGGTCAGTCAGCAGTTTGCCCCTGTTGACTCCCCATATGTCAGACTAGAGCTCGATTCGGTGTTTTACTTACACTCGCTGGAGGTTCCATCATTTAAATGATCCCCCAAGAAAACAAATAAAAGCATTTCACCGGCACACACTCTCTTTACATGACTCTCTACTGTCTAACGTGTAGGACAAGAGCTATTAATTGGTGTTGTTTCAAATATCACCTGCTGTACAGCACAGGCTACTGCTGAAAACTGATGTGAGTGTAACAATAGTACAAGTAAAATCTGACATGAACTGCTTTGCGAAATGTAAAAATAGTACAGATGAAGAAAGGAAAAAGAGAGTAAATGAATAGAGAGTGGTTGGAATGAATCCCTTAAAGCATTTTCTGCAAAAGAAGAGGGGGGAATTGAGATGCTCGTACAAATCTCTCAGTCTTTTACAAAAGAGAGAAGAAGAGGAATACAAGATAACATAATCAAACAACCTCCCCATGTGGATTTAGGATAATATGAACAAAATATCCCTTTTTGTTGGTAATTTTGAGGTAATGTGTGTTCCAGTTTAAAAGTGTGTCTGAGGTTTTAGTCACTGTTTTTACTATCATTACACTCTAAAAAATGCTGGGTTAAATATAACCCAGCGCTGGGTTAAAAAGGGACAAACCCAGCTATTGGGTTGTTTTGACCCAGC